TTTTTTTCTGTGAAAAAATCTATATATGACTAGAAAAATACCTGCCAATTGTTGATTACTTCCAGCTCGAGTTCTATTCAATTTTCGAAATAAAAAAAAAGTACCAACTACTTTGATTTTTATATCTGATTATCCAATGTATATATTATAAAGTGATCTTTTCTGATGATTCATACTATTGTGAAAATGTTCAATGAGGAAAAAAAAAAGTAATAATAATTACTCGAACATCATCTTCAATTGTTTGCATTAATTGATCATAAAAAAATGGTTCAAGAATTAAACCATGTGGATGAAGTGATTTAAAATCATTATCTTTTAATGTTGGTAAATCACGTTTACGTTCTTCTTCTGATGCTTTTCGTTTATATATAGATCCTTTTAAATCATATTTTTCATGTAATTTAACATTTGTTGGTATTAAATTATTCATTATAACAAAACGTATATTTTTATTAGCACTTTGATAACAATAAAGACCAAAAAATTTTGGTAATAATGTAAATGGATTTTGTGTTAAATTCATATAATATCCTGGTAATAGACTAAGTAAAAATCGTGCTTCTTTTTTTGATACAGTTTTTATTATATATGTATCATCAGCTGTTATATAAAATATAGAACCACTTGCACCTGGATTTGGTAATTCGCGAAAATCTTTAGCACATAATGATGACTAAAATATTGATAAGAAATAAGAATATTTAATTAAGAACCTATTCAAAAGAAAATTGATATATTATCATCTTAATATTATAAGAACTAATAAGTTCTTGTACTTGAAAGCTTTGTACATTTTTGACATAATAGAAAACTTGACATCTTCTATTGAGATTAGGGATTTATATTAGTTCGTTTGATGAGGTTAATATAGTCTTCTATTGTATATTATTGATTAATAAATGTCATTTCTTAACATGACAGAAATGTTTGACTATTATTTCATGCGACTTATTATGACTTTTTCTGTTAGTAAGATCTTTAATAAGAAATAAAAAGACTATTTCAGAAAATAGAGATAAACTAATAAGAATAGATTTATGTTTTCAAGAGTTTTTGCATGAACTAACAGATAATGTTTAGATACAATAATATTCGAAAATTGCATGAGATTAGTTTCCTGTTTCAAAATGAATTTGTAATCATTTTCTTTTCTATTCGATAATCCTATTTCTAAAAAAAAATGTTCTCCATTTAATGATATGATTCATTATACTATTGGTAGTCCTAAAAGACTAACATTCATATATACGTATCTATGTACGTCATCTTGTGTTAATTTTAAATCAACATGTCAAACGATATTATTTGCTCTTGTTTTATTTGAATAAGTAATACTGTATAACCCAAAATGACAAAAAAAAAAGTAAATATTAATTCATGAAGCCTGATATATTATCTTAATTCCATTCAGTAAAAAAAAAAATTGTTTTTCTCTCGTTTAAATAACTCAATTTTGCTATTTTAATTTCAGTTTAAAAGTTGTTTATTATATTTGTTTTTGTTTTTCTATTAAAAATGATGACTATTCTACGTGATATTTAAGTATGACTATTAAACTAATCCAATAATTTTTATATATCACGTATATCAAACTTGAAATGTCGACTTAGATCGATTGAATTTGATTATAATTTTCGAAAGGAAATCTTATGTTCTGCATTTTTTTTTAATTCTGTTTGACGTCATATAATTTGCTTTTATATTTAATGAATATAAGCTTTTTTTTTTTTTATTCCAGGTTTCACCTGGTTGATATACGGTTTCTTGCATGTCTAATATTCAACATACCATAAATGATGATGGATCAACACCAAAAGCATTACGAAAAAAACGAAATGCTGTTTGAGCATAAGTTTTTAAACGAAATTCAGCATATGGATGTATTGGTGTTGATTTTGAACCGTCCCTAAAGAATAATTTCGAATAAGAATAATAATTAATTAAACAAAATATTTACGGTGGAAAATCTTGATATTCAATTTGTTGAAAATCTTGTATAAGTACTTGACGTTGTGGATGATGATGTTTACCAAGAACATATGTAAGACCAATTTGTAAAGATTTCATTAAATCATCAACTGTCACACGTTTATAAGTAACAATTCCTGTTTCATCAACACGACGATGACCTAATTTTTCTTTATTTCCTGCATTCAATGGTTCATTATCACTTTCAGATACCTTTATTTAGAATATGACAAAAAAGAAAATTTCCATTTTACAAATAAAATACAAATTTTTCTTACTGATATTTGATTGATATTCCCTGATGATTGTTGATTTACATTAATACATTGTTCACTAGGTGTATGAATGAGAATTTGTGGCAGTGATGATGATGGAAATTCATTTGATGGTGATTCATGAATTTCATTTGAAGGAATGTTTGGAGATGTTGGTAATGTGGAATGTGTTGAAGGTGATGAAAAAAGAAAATCTGTTATTGATCCAACATTTGATGCTACACATGAAATAGTTGCTGGAGATTTTCGTCCATTTTGATGAGGAAATAAATCAGTTGTTTGTTGATCAGTAGCCGTCATGTAAAAAAAAGAAAAAAAGGACAAGACAGATATGATCTAGAATAAAAAAAATAATAATAAAACTTCTACGTTTTATTTTATCTTCAATAAAAACCGGAGACGTTTGGCATACAAGGCGATGATGATTGTGTTAATCGGCTTGTTTTTTCTCTCTTCTAGTCGATGCGGAAAGAATATTGTCGGAAATATGGGCGGATTGTTTTTCTTTTTTTTTTCTTCTTCTTCCTATCTAATCTTTTTTTGCTTCTTCTTCTTCTGTTTCTATAATAATTGCTGAATTGAAAATAAGCAAAGAAGTTGAGCTACTTGGTCAACATACTCGTTCTGAGTATATATAATCTATACACAATCAAATCGAATGTGAACGTGTAAGCATGCACGAACAAATACGATATTTTGTTTCTTCTCCTGCTTCCGATTTTTCTCTCCGCCTTGTTTCTCTTGTTCTTATTTTTTTTCTGAATGCGTCTATCAATATGAATCAGAGAGAGAGAGAGAGAAAGAAAAAGAAGGTAACTTATTGCAACTTTTTTGAAGGACAAGGTAAGTAATTAATCGAATGGAAAGAAATAGTTCAAAGATCACAAAAATAATATTTAAAGTAAAATGAAGAAAAAAAAACAAAAATCTATATATTTTTTTTATTTATTTTTCTAACAAAATAGTTATTAGTCTAATATAAATTATCTGTTTTGTAACAATATACAGGATATCCTTTTCTCCGTTTTGTTTTTGAATAAATAGACTCATATTGTCGAAAATTTTTTAGTTCAATCTTCCTCTAATACAAGTATGTAGTATATATAAAAATATAAATAGATGGTAATTTAGGTTATCGCAATGGCGTCAGGATGTTCTAAGGTTCCAATGAATGACTTGAAAAACATCTTGGCATTATTAAAGTCAGACTATAGAAAATCTCTTTCGAAGTGTATTCTTTTGTAATGAATATAAATAAGAAAAAACATGTTATTACTAAGTTAAAACTCTATATTCATACAATTCATGATTTATAATATTTCTTTTGTGAAGGTATGTTCGATTCTACTTTTGATCGATGAGTATAACTTATAAAAATTCAAAATCATTTCGACTAATACATTTTAAGTAGTTATAAGCATATACTCTATCTCAAATATTCTTTATGTATTTACCTAAAGGACTCTCACTTGAGTATCAATACAAAAGAATACTATCAAAATATTGTTATTAATCTATACACAAATATTGTAAGAGTCTATTTTCTTTTTCTTATGTTTTTGAAAAGAACATTCAATTTGTATCGTTTCAAAATATTCCATATTCATATTCTTTTAACTCTAATAGATATAAAATTCTCTTTTTGTTGATTAGAAGAAAAAAAAAAAGCCAAAGATTATTTGACATTTCTCAAACGTAGTAGGACGAAACTCTTGGTAAAAAAAAAATACACTAAGTATGGATTTAAAAAGAATAAACAAAAAATGAAAAATATTTTTTTTTTATGTCAAATTTATTGGAAGGTAGCAGAAATAAGAAATATAAAGAGATTTAATACATTAAAATAGTATACGTGTATGTATGGAAGTGTAATACCCAAATATGAAATACAATAACAGACAGAAAAAAAAGACACGGGAAGCAGAAGAAACAAACAAAAAACAAGAGTTTTCTTTATTGACAATGATAAATGAAAAAAAAAACACCATTTGTATAGATAAAGAATAGTGTGCATAAAGTTTATTTAACGCTCATAAGAAAAAAAAAAACAAACAAACAAAGTTCTAATTGAGATACAAATAAAAAAAAAACACCGGGGCTAAAGGTAAACATATGTATATGAATATGCGAGTATGAAAAGGGAAATAATATCATCTTTTTCTTTGGTTATAAAAACAGCGAGAACAAAAAAAAAACAAATAAACGAGCTTTTTTACGTTTTAAATATGTGACTGACAACTATATACATTTACAATAAGAATAAATAGAGTTTTTAAAAAAAAAAAAAAGAAAACGAGCGAAGAAAAAAGAATTTAATCGATACGATTAAATTCTTTTTTGCTTTATTGATAAGGAATGTTTATGCACGGTTTTGATGGTATTAAAGTCTAGTCTAAATAAAGAATAATATATTAAATGTTTATCATTATTAAAATTTCATAGAATATTAATAATAAAAAATGTATTAAATATATGTGTAGATATTTTTAAACGAATTGTGAAAATTTAAGTAAAAAAGAACTATAACATGCATATGTTAAAGTAGATTACAGTAATTATTTTTGTTATTCTTGTAAATAAAGTGCAATAGTAAGAAGAAAAAGAAATTTTTTATACAAACCCGAATAATATTAGGATCTGTCTGTATATATAGGTTAAGAAAAGAAAAATGATTTATTTTATATTACCAAATTATAAATATATGAAAAGAGATATTTTCAATAAAAAGCATAGAAAAGCGAGGAAATAATAATATTAATTAAAATTTTTTGTCAAACATACCATATCATCATTAATACCACTTGCCGATGGATTACGATATTGACGATGTACTGGTGAATGCTCAGCTGACTTGTCATCTAAAATAGAAATATAAACAAAGATAACATAGTGATTTACATTCTTTTTTGAAAAATTCTCAGCAATAGAGTTTAAATTAAGTTTGTAAATATAAATTTAAAATTTTTTGAAATCATATATTAACTGAATATTATCTATTTAGAAATATTAATATTGAAAACTTTCAATTAGAGGTCGACAAGCTCAGCTCAGTTCTGCTCAGAGGAACTGTTCGAACAGCTCTTTTGAGCTGTGAGCTGTGTTCCCCAAACAGAACACTTTTGTTCTGTTATGGGAATTATTTCCCAAAAACGGAACAAAAGTGTTCTGTTTTGGGAACACAGCTCAGCTCAAAAGAGCTGTTCGAACAGTTTCTTTGAGCAGAACTGAGCTGAGCTTGTCGACCCCTACTTTCAATGATATATTCGAACAATATTTGAAGATAATAAACTTACGGTAAGATAAATTCGTAGCTGATGATGCTAATTTTCCCACAATTCCACCACCAATAGGTAATAAAATCTGACGTGGTACATCATTATCATCATCATCATTAGTTGTATCTATTGAGGATTTTGGTAAATTTTTTCGATTATGTGATGGACTATAGGTAATTTTTAATCGATTATTAAATGATGTTGTTAAAATTTTAGCTGAATTATGTCTTGTTGGTTCATTATATAAAGAATCTGATTTATGTGAACTTGAATAAACAGTTGTTGAACTATCATGTTTATTATTTTCAACATCTAATTTACGTGCAAATGTATTAGTACGTGTTGATGGTGATGATGAATAATAGGATGTTATATGACTACTTGTTGCTTGAGTTTGTGTACTTGAACTTGGACTTGCATGGTTTGCATAGAGTGGTACATTACTACGATAATTTCTATTATTTGTTGTCGTTTTTGGTGAACTTGAAAAAAAGACAAAACGAAAACAAATCAAAATATATAGAATTACTTTGATTTAAAGGTATGATTGTACTAAACTAGAATGACTTTATAATACATATTATATATTTGTTTCGTAACGTATGAGTTTAAGATAAACAATGATAATGTATAAAGTTTGTACTGTTTGATATTTATCTTAATTCAAATGTATCGAAAAATAATGCATGATAAGTAATTATATTAGTTTTGCGTGATGATAAAGCTTCTGATACATTATAATGCATAAGTCTAGGAGAAACTAAATTTATCTCGTTTTACTTTCATGCTTACATGCATTTTTTTTAACTGTAAGAATATTTTAGTGTTTTTAGATTTGCATGAAAGAAATACGCCTATCTATCACGCACACAGATTAACAAAAAGATTAAAGACACTACAAGGTGACAAATATAGAAATCATTGTTGCGTGAAAATGTATAAAAATAAAACGGGATAAATTTAACTTCTGATAGATCCCTCGATAAAGGAGTTGCCAATCATCGAAAGAATAGAAATATATAAAGCTAATTTATTGTACATGAAGCATTCACAAAATTTTGAAAACTAGTAATATGTTTTGAAATCATAAGAATGTTCGATTTACTTTTGAATAATCTTTTTCTATTCACAGATATATATATCAAACTGATTGTTCGACTATAACTGAGTTGAATATATTTGATAATTCAGATCTTTAAATTCTCTCTTTGAGAATTTTCCTAACAAAACTATTTATATGCAGTTTGCAGTACCTTGATGAATTTAATACCATCGATGTTTCATGATAGTTTTTGTTGAAAATATCTTAACTAATACTTTTTGCCATCTTCTTACGACAAGTAAAATGTTTTGGTTCCTGTTACAGACTAGAATTTGTCTCTTACCTCTTCCTAATACTGCGATATCTAATCTATCTTTCAACGCCTGTCATCATATCATATCATCGCAATGTCCATTTTGTCCGATCTTTCAAATTTTCGGTACTAAATTGACAAGTATAACTAAACAATAACCAAGCCATCCATCAGTTTGACACATATCGATGAATACAAAGAAAAAAAAGATTATTTAAAAGTAAATCGAGCTTTCTATCAAATATTGTTATGATGTCTTCTAACATTTGTTGTAAACAAATAAATATAATGTACTTCTGATGGAAGAGATATTGCGAGTTCTCAAAATATTTTCAATGACCTATATAATACTGATTCTAATAATTTCTTTTCTAATGGTTTCGAATTTTGCTCTTAGTAAATTTAATCTAATTCCGATCTAGAGAAAACTATTCCAGAATTTATTCATAGCAAATCTTTAGAAAATTCCTTAACTACTTGTATTTAATTGATAATTAGTACTCTTCTAGATTGTTTTTTCTTGAATTATGTTCTGATTAATACCATTTATACGATAATGTACTTACAACTATAGAATAAATAACCGTTATCTTTAGTTAAAAATTGACATAAGTGTTTTTTATTTCTTGTAGTCCCAATGAACCTTCAAATCTTCATCGTAAATATTTAGAACGGTGAAGAATAGAGTTACGAGAGTCAGAAAAATTCTTCTCAGTCACGAAAATAAAAGATTGATTGACTTGCCCTTTTCTTTCAATATTTTACAAGAAATCTATCACTTTCTACGTATTGAAAAAAAAAAAAAGGATTAGATTCTTATTTGTTCACTCTATTTCTTCATCGATTATAACTTGACATGCACAAGACTAATCATTTTTCGTTTCGATCCCATCGGAACCGGAACTATCTTGTCGATATCTAATTATAACTCTTATTTTAGTACAAATACACATCAATCTTAGTTAGTAATTCATAGATCAAATTGTATTTATCTAAACTCGTTCATTGACGATGCACAATATATTAATCTAATAGAAAATTGTACTAATAATTTCTTTTTTTTTTTTAATACCTAGCTGCTGATTGATGTAAATGTAAAGGAGTTATTTCAAATGAACGTCGTCCCATAGGTGTTGTTTGTAAACTACTTCGATCATTTCTCATTATTATTGGAGTTGATATCATATCTTTTTCTTGTTCAGATCCATGTAGCATTTTTGACAATCTTGATCGACGTTTAACTGGTGATTCTCGTAAAGCTAGAAGGAGAAAAAAAGAAACAGATTTCATATAATTTATATAAAAATAAATCAAATTAAAATTTTATACTTAATAACCACAAAGCACGAAAAAACAAACATGCAATACATTCGATATGAAATTATTTTAGAAAGAACTAAATTCCCTTTATCTATGGCATTTTTTTTTTATCCTTTTTACCAATAGAAAATAAATAATATTAAGGGAGCACAACAATAACAAAAACAAAAAAAACAACGATAATAATTTTCTTTTGCCTTTACCAATTAATGCAATTGTACGAAATTTTTTGGCATTATCACCTAAGATTGATGAAGAAAATTTCATAGAAGAATATTATTTTAATCAATCATATACAATAAACAAAAGATTAAAGACGAAGAAATAATAAATCAACTCAACTTACAAATATTCATTTCTCAAATAAAACTACTAAGTTATTTTTAAAGAAATAATGTTAACGAAAAAAAAATTTTATATTTACGTGGTGCTTTTCTAAATACAGTTGTAAAGAGAAATTTTTGAAAACGTTCAGAATAAAAACTTGGATTTGTTACTGATATTTGAGTCTATGAAAAAAAAAAATTATTTTTTACAAAGTCAATTTTTAGTTCATACTCCATCCGTAAGAACAGATTTAAATGTATGCTCTAATTTTTTACGTATTTGATAAGATTGTAAAATATCAATTATACCAACATAAAGTAACAATCGTTGGCCACTAGCAGTTCGAGCTGGAATACCACCAGTTCTAAAAAACAAAAATTATACTCATAGACATCAAAAATTCAAAAAAGAGAAATATATTTTCAATCTGTAAGGTATCGTTTAGCTAATTCAAAATAGATATTTTCTTTTTCTTTTAATAGTTTATAGAGAAAGTATATAATTTAATGTTTTTTTTTTATTAAGAACATGTTTACTCTTGGGATAATAATCGATTAAAAACATATCTAATCAAGTTTTAACTATGAAAATATGGTTTCAATTCATAAATAGAAATAGGAAAGAAAAATGTCACTTCTAACAAATTACGCGCCTATTTTCAATCATAAAGTGACGAAAAAAAATAGTTTGACAACAACGTATTTTTGATTTTCTTTTGTTATATGCAATTAGCCGAAATATAGATAATAATTTTTAATAGTTAATAAAGTTTTCTATATAATTCATTGTATACTAAGATTTCATAGATAAACTCTGATGACAAGATTTCTAAAAAACTGTTTACGATAGTTTTTAGAGCCTAGAAAACTATTTTTTAATAATTCCATTTTAAAGGACACAAATTCAACAATTTGATGGGAAGGGAGACAACTGATACGACCCGAGTGTCATCAAAGAGTTGACTTACACACTCGCTTCATATTATGATATAAGCAACAAAAGAAGTATGAATTTGTTAATCTCTGATAATGTTCAAATACCTCAATTCATGAGTTACAGATTACGTAGTTTTGAGTATTTGTCGTCCGGAGAGGCATTTTTTATAGGCAGACGCGTCTGAACAAGACAAATTTAATAGTATCTGCGAAGCTTCTCTCGAAAATTAGTACTTTTTGAACATAATAGAAGGCTTAGGGCTTCGAATATGAATAGTTATTTACAAAAACCGGAAAAGGGAGTGTTTTAGTCGATTTTCCGATACTTTTAACTTTTTAAGGAAAAGTGCGACAATTTCTCTTTTTATGCTCTTGAAAATGGCATTATTAACAAAATAGCTTCTCAAATTAGATAGAAAATTCCAACTGTGATCTTTTCTCAATATTTTTTTTTCAATTCTCTCACACTTATATTTATAAATACAAATAAACATAGTTCTTTTTAAATTAAATATAAATGTATTACATACTATTCTAATACAATTTCCTTAATACTATTCGTTATCATATAACTAACTATGAATACTTCCAGATGTGTTTTATAGTAGTTATTCTTAAATGTAACAAAAGGAAAAACGATCATACTTGACTAGATGATCATCTGGTTTATTATGTTCATCAAATTCTACTTGAATAGTATCCATTGGAGTTGAATACATCATACGTTTTGGTTGTACAGATGTTTGTTCTTTACAAAAAAAAACAAAAGCAAATATTGATATTAGTGTTGCATAATTCATTATATTTACCACCAGGTGTAAGCATTACATTTACAGTTGCACGATCCTTAAACATTAAAAAAAATAATCACATTTACAATATGAAATTTCTCTTCTTTTTTTTACTCCTCCAGAATCTGTTGGTGCATCAACATGATGAACACCAATTAAAAATGAATAATCCATTATACGAAAACTTTCGAGTACCTAAAAATCAAAGAAAAAAAAATAGAAATTAAATATTTAATTTAACGAACTCGACAATCACGTTGAACAGTTTTTGCAAGTGCATTAAAAGTTTCTGTATCAAGTAATAGACCATCAGGATGTCGTTCCATAAAATCTAAATCTTTCCATGTTGGAGATTCTTTACGTCTTTCTTCACTATTAGCTCGTCGTTTATATGTTGAACCTTTGAGATCATATTTTTCATGCATATGTAGATAAGATGGAATTAAATTATTCATTACAGTTATACGAATATTTTTATTATCACCCTGAAAAAAAAATAAAAAACAACATGCAAAACGAAACATTGTTTTATTTGATTTTTTTTTTTTGTAATTGAAATCAAAAAAGAGCAAAGCAGAGCACAATTTAAACTTCACCTTGATGAAGAATATCATCATTTGATTTATTTAATAACTTGATGATTAAACTTGAAAAGTAGATATAAAAATCTCTATGAAATATTTACATAAAGTCAAGTCATATTTCTAATTAATCTAAGATTCTAAAAATATTTTTTTATGTATATAAATAAGTCAAAGCACAAACAACAAAATGTTAGAAGAAGTAGATCAGTTCAATATGTTTCGTTTATCAGTTTAAGGGATTTTTGTTTTTTTGTTTTTTTGGTCAAATACACAAATACAAAAAAATTAATCAACTCTAGTTAAAAACAAAGTCCTTATGAATATGTGATTACACTTACAATGCCAGTATGAGTATTTATTGGCATGAATCCTGTGACCTATGTAGATGTAAATAGCGTTATCTATTCTCTGAATTCGTGTTTCTATTAATACTCTCATGATAATTAATCCAATTATATAGATTGCTAAGAAAAAGAAACAAAAAAAAAAAAAAAGGATTGTGTTCATACCTGATAACAATAAAGACCAAAAAATTTAGGTAATAAAGTACGTGGATTTTGTGTAACATTCTAAAATAAAAAAAAAAAAGTCAACAAATTAGAATATAAAAAGAATAAATATACAAACCATATAATAACCGGGAAGAAGACATTTTAAAAAATCTGCCTCTTTTTTTTGTACTGTTTTTAATATAAATTCATCATCAGATGTTAAATAAAATAAACTACCACTAGCACCCGGATTTTTTAATTCCCGTAAAGGTTTACATATAGAATACTAAATAAAAATATAAATAATAATTTTCATTAAATAAATCACTATGAAAACAACAACAACAACAAAAAAAATTTATTTACTAAAAATTCATCTGGTCTGATATTAAATAATTCTCTAAAATGTCTAAATGCTACTGGAGCATACGAACGAATTGTAAAATCATTAAAACGATGTGCTGGTGTTGTTTTAGTTCCTTCTCTATTAAACAAAAAAAAAAAAAACAGAACTTTAGTTTAACTAACAATTTAAATGATCATTACTTAGGAAAATGTATTATTTCAACAGTAAGAAAATCTTGATAAAGTACATCATGTGCTGCTTTTGCTTGAAGACCACCAACTGTATATTGTATTCCTAATTGTAATGCTTCAACAAGTTGTGTTGTTGGTAATCGTTTAAATGTAACATTGCCTTGTGTATCAATACGTAAATGTCCTAGTTTATGTTTTTTACCTGTTCAAAAAAAAAAAAAACCCAAAGGAAGTTAAAATTTCCTTTCTATCAAATTAAATCTTTTACCAATAGCAACACCATCAACATCTTCATCTTCAGGTTGATCATCATTTCCCTTTGAAAACAAAAAAACACAAGATAAGAAAATATTTTTATATTATAAAATTAGAGAAAAATACTTCAACAGATTGTGCTATTGACGACATAATTGAGAAGACAACATAAAAAAGAAAAGAATTAATTGTTCAAATCAAAATAAATTTCATTTATTAATGTAATATCGATGCCATTATGAGCTTGTTTTATATATATATATATGTGATTGATCGAACAACCTGGTATTGTCGTTTCTAAATGAGTAAAAGATTACGCATAGGAACAATAAAAAAAACAAACAATAATAAACAACAGAACAGGAAAAAATATATAAACGGCTGATAAAAAAAAAAAAATGAGAGAATGGAAAAAAAGAAAAACATACAGAATTATAATTAACCAATCGATACGAAGAGATAGAATACATAAATCATGCATACTAGAGCCATCTTCTGGAGTATAACGGATCTGATTGTTGTGAAATTCTAAATATGAGATTATCTTTCAAATATTTTAAGTTCTTCTATGTTAATTCAATATTTATTTCTTAAAGAAAACAGACTCTAAGTAAATTGCAAATACCCGTTAATCTACTAGTAACATTACAAATCAAAATTCAATCTCAAAGGATTTATAAATAAATATACATATCTACATATATATATATATCAATTACACGTGGTTTCTAGGCTTCATTCAGGGGATAAACGATAATGTATTAACATATTTGTAACATAGAAAGATTGTATGAGTCACTATTGTCGTAAAAATAGCTAATCATCAGTACAATCTTTGATTCATACACTCAATGACAGTAGTATCAAAGTAGAAAGAAAGTATAAAACAGTATGTTGAATGATGAGGAGAAACAAACGATTTCGTAATTTTGTTGTTTTGAAGTACGAAATGATGGCATGATTATTTGTAAATAAAGTGCGTAGAAATGTGATACGAAAATTAAAAAAGCAAACAATTATCGGATAATATATCACAAGTATCTGATATCGAAAAATTTTACATGCGAACATGAAAAAGAAAAATGAAGACGAACAAGATCAAGGGAATTTCCAACAAAAAGAATATGCACTTTTGTTACTTCCTTTTCATGATTTCTTTTTGATTGAGTAATATTAATAATATTAGTCTGACATAAAACAGGAAATTAAATTCGATTACCCTTAAGGAATTTGACTTTCAGTATTGTGTCTTCTAAAATTGGAATTCATTTTAAAGATATTCAATAAAATTTATGATATATGATAAAAATATCTTATCTATTGTACTTAGTACTAATATGTAATTATTATTAATATAAAATTTTTTTGTTGTATACATTTCAGCTATAATATCTAATTTTCATTTGCTATTTTAAAAACTTTACATCACTTTAGTTTATCATAGAATTCGTCTGATTGCAATTGAATTTTCTAATTAAAATAAATTTTTGAAAAGAAAGAAAACGATTTTAAGAATTTTATGAAGATGACTTACAAGTTCGAAAACATGTTAACTTTTGTCTTTTAAAATTTTCTAGTTGATTTGAACTTACTAGTTAAAGTTTCAGCATTACAGGAAGCTAATTAATGAAGGGAAATCGTCTATTAAATCGCACAAATTATTTTTCAACTAAGGCTTTCTATTTTAGGAACGAATCTAATAGGAAAATCTCAAAACAAGTAACTTGACCTTCTAGAAATATACATAAGAAATCCATACATGAAAAATAGTTATTTTGATTATTGTGATGAATATAGGAATGTAAGATTTTTATATTTTACCAACAAATGCACAAAAAAAAAACATAGGCAACCTTTAACTACTTAAAATTTCTTTTATTCTAAGTTATTTTTTCAATTGAGCAAATGCCTTACAGATGAATTGAGAAATATTATATCCTTAAGGCAAAAGTGAAATAAAGTTTGTGTGGGTTTTTATTTTTATTTTCTATAAGATAAATGAAAACGAAAAAGAAAGATTGTTTAACATTAAATGTGTACTAAAAAAAAGAAAGAAAAAAAAAATGAAAAGATAAGATCATTTATTGAATGTTGTTTAATCATTACATCGAAGAAAATGAGATAATTATATTTTTATCAATTTTTTATTTATTTGATATCTCATGAATTGAAATGAATCTCAAATTTCATCTTTTGTTTGTTTCTATTCGATTTCATTCAAACATTTTCTTTTTTTTTCTTAACATACAATGTACCATTTATTGATCAATCTTTTAATCATATTTTCACTAAATTACTCTATTTATTGTTCGTATCATTATGTTGGTTGTTATACACAAGTATTTCATGATAGTTATTTCACTAGTTCATTTATGGAACCAACATTATGTTTTCGATTATGCGACACACCTATAATTTATTTACAAGGTACAATATGTCGTTGTTCAGGTGGTGGTCTAATGGATTATAGACGACAAAGTAATGATCTTTGTCAAATACCATGTACAAAACCAGTTGATCGTTCAGTAAAAACACCTAATACATGTGGTGGTTCATCAACATATTCAGCTTATGTTCAAGATAAATTTTTTATTAAACATGGACATTTATTTGATTATCAAATTAATTTTGCTTCATGTGAATTATGGACAGGTTCTGATGTTTATGATACATCTGAAGTTCGATTGAATGATATTGGACGATCATCTTTAAATAAATTAGAACAATGTGCAGCTACATGTTTAGATCGAAATGCAACAACAAGATCAATAGGTATATATCTATTTATAAGATATTTACTTTAGATATAATATTTCAGTTTATTTAAATACAATCACAATTAGTTTTTCGCATTTAGAAAATCAAACATTATCGAAATATTAATAATTTCTTTGAAATATAATCTAACAGGAGTATTGAAGTATAGAAGTAGAAATTTGAAACTTGTTTCCTTCCAGTTCACGGCAAACACTTTAACAACGTCTCTCTTCTCTACCACAAATGTTGTTGATATATAATCAAAGACTGTATGTCAATAACATTTTCGTTCTCATATATGAAATACACCCTTATTGCACTTTTGGAGAACTAAGGAAAATAATATTGAAGAAATGTGTCTCAAAATAGATAGAATAAAGCAATTCCCCTGCAATTAGTAAAAACAACTACATTCTGTTTCATATTTTAATCCCATAGGAATTGCGTTAATAGTTTTTTCTTTCGTTAGTATCTACGTCGATCCGTACAATTACTTACGTATATTATGAGCATACAAAATATTGCTACACTTGAGAATTAATTTTGTTTTTTTTTTGTTTTAAATTATTCTGTTATATCTTGAGTGATTTATTGTGGACTCATAAATTAGAACATGACATGACACTGCCGTTCATGACATTTTCCCATGAAGTACTACTGCGCTCACATGTACGAGTAAAATTAGTTTTTCGGAAGTGAAAACGGAAGCACATACACAAAGGAAGCAACACCCAATAGACTTTAATTGATTTTTAGAGGTCTGGTTATACCTTAGTAGAGTTTATGTACTTAATAAACTAATAATAGTTCTTGGCAAAATCTAACAGATAATTCTTATCCACGAAAGAAAAAAAAAAAACTTAAAAATTTTAAATAAATAAAATTCTCTTTCAGACTAGTTTATTGTTTAAATATCAGATTTTGTAGTAAATCCTACCTTGTAATATAAATATAACTATATTGGTATCTGAGTATAGAAGATACTAAAAAAGCATTGATATTTACAGAATGAATTAGTTAGATTAAAAACTGACGTACATCATGAATTCAAAAGTGATCAGATGAAGATCATGACGTTTTATTGGAAAATTTATTAAAACGATCATAATTCAAGAAGAAAAAAAACCTATCTGCATGAATCCATGTTTTTGCAAGGCCTATCAAAAAAGGTGACATTCATCTTAAAAGTGATGTTTATTGCTTGAAAAGATTTTTAGCATTATTCTTTTTGATTAAAAATTCATATAATATATTTGAATTTATCGTTTCTTTTTTTAAAAAGGATTTAATGATGATAGTGACAAATGTTTATGTATAATGCCATTGAAATCTAGTAAAATCTTTGATCGTACACATTATATAAAACAATTAGCAAATAGTTCATGTGATCATTATTGTAAAAATTCATATGAAGGTTCAAAAATTGATCTTAAATTTCAATGTGGTTCATTAACAAATCCTCAAATATGGGCTATATATGAATTAAATGGAACATGTCCAATAAATTTTATTTATATGAAAGAATTAAAAAAATGTATATATGCATATAAAAATTTTTGGAATTCATGTACACCACCATCAATTAGTTTTTCTTTTGATGAAAGTATAACATGGAATAATTTATTAAAAATAATTAATAAATTAAATTTAAATAATTCAGCTGTAACTATTGATTTTGATGATAGTGTTGTTATTGATCGTTCATGGAAATGTTTAAGTGCATTAACAACAACAACAACAACAACATCATCATCTTATGTATGGTCATCTTATCTTTCACGTTCACGCTCAAGTTTATATGGTTGGAATTCTAATACACGTTATATTCTAGAAGATGGATGTTTACTTGAAACTTCATATTCATCATATTCACATCGATATTCATATCGTTTATGTGTAACAGATCCAGTCTATAGATATTCTTTAACAGATAATGAAGATAATAATGAAACTTATATTGCTGCTGTAAATCCACAAATAAAATATTGTCCAACAAATTGGTTTGATTTAAATGGACGTTGTTATCGGGTTTCAGACGAACGTAAAACCATTGAACAAGCACGAAATAGTTGTATTAGTGTATCAACAACTGGATCAACTACAGTGGGTCAACCTCGTATATGGTTAATGGATAGTTCTGGTAATCTCATTGTTGGCAATGAATTAAATGATTCACCAAAAGGTGATATTGTCGAATATATATCAGAATGGCAAGCTAGACTTGGATTTTTTCTTCTTGATACTGATCCTGATCATGGTATGAAAATATGTCATGTTTTTTTTTAAGAAAAAAGAAAAGAATCAATTCTTTTTTGTTTTTATTTTTATTATAGATGATGGAGTTGTAGATACAACAACATCATTACACAATACTTTTTATGATGATGCTTTATCATCAACAGATATTGATGAGACTGTTAATCTTAATCATGGATCAATAAATGAATTTCAATTAATTGATTCAAATGAAAATAGAAACATTTCAAATAATACATGTTTGGTTATAACACGTTCAACAACTGAAGAAGACGAAAAACCAATGATTAAAAATACTCTTATGGATGATTGTTCTAAACCAAGACATGTTTTATGTGAAACAAATACATTAATTGTTCAAAAATATCAATATGATTGTTTTAATAAACCAAATGTACTTGATTTACCAGCATTAATATCAAATCATTTAACACATGAATTATGTTTATCTGTATGTCAAGAATTACAAACAAAATTAGCTATTTTACATATTAATAAATGTTATTGTTTACATGGTTCTAATTCAAATTCATTAAATATAACAACAGATTTTGAAAAATTTCGACAAAAAAAATGTGGAAATGTTTGTCCAGGTATCTATTCTCAAATTATTCGAAAATCTCATCAAATAAAATATTATAGAGATCGAATTATTCTAATTAACTTTAAGTAGACGATTATAGTAAAATATTTTAATTTTGTTTTAATTATTTATATGACTCATTCTATAGAGATTATTACAAATGAAAGAACGATATTATTGATTTAACGGAATTTTATAGGTAGTAATGAAGACTAAGAGTATCGACTGGAAAAAGAAAATAGAATAGAATTAAATATATAAATTAAAATAAGCATAACAAATACATGTTACATATAGAAATTTATAAAATAGAAGTGTTCGAGTTTGATCTTCATTGCAATCATTTCCAAGTAATTAACCAAAACAAGTAGAAGTCAGTCTTGGTATTCTTTAAAATGTTAATAGTGTTCAAAAATATCCGAATTCACATTTGAACTAACCTTATAAAAAATTTTACTCATATAACGATCTCAATTAGACTAGCTTGTATAAAAATTTTTATAACTTCTCTACTCAATCTCTTCAAAATGTTTCTGATTAAAACTCGAAAATATGGTTTTTATTGTCAATGTAGGATCCTACAATGAAAATCCAATAAAGAAAAAAAAAGTTTGATTTCTTTTTAATGATAGACATAGTTCATTAAGCTCAACAAGATACAAAAGATCTCGACTGAAAAAGTAAAACGATACATTGAAACTATTCTTTTGTTATTTAATATAATTTTTTTAATATTCTTCCTTGAAACTATGAAAATTTACTATGAATAATTATTTCTTTTTTCAGGTAATTCTCATGAACTATGTGGTAATGATAATACAATAGTTGTTTTTCAAATTTTTGATTCTCGTCGTACATATTCATTTGTTCGTACACCAGCTGAACCATTTCCTAATCATGCTTATGATAGTTGTATATATTTAAATTCATTTAATCAATCCATAACATATCAATTTACAATTTATAATAAACATGAATTTCATCCACGTTATTGTTTAGCATTTTGTACACAATATAAACAAAAATTTGCATTAATTAATGATAAAGAATGTTTATGTACAAATAAACCAATGAAAGATGCTGATGATGTTAATATATTGTCTGGACAAGATTGTTCTCAACCATGTGCAGGCAATTATTTTTATTCATGTGGAAATAAAAATAATGTTACTATATATTCAATGTATTTATTATTACCAAAATGTCGACATGGTAGGAACAAAAAAAAAAAAAAAAAAACAAAGATTCGAATTGACGTTGTGTTTTTATTAAGGTTTTGAAGTCGCAGAAAATGATCAACAATGTGTTTTTAGTCATTTTTCTTCTAAAACAAATTCTTTTCTATTAGCAAAAAAATATTGTGAATCAATTGGTAGTACATTAGCAAAAATTAATGATATTGTTGAAATTCAAGATATTTTACCAGATTCAATATTACATACACGTCTTATGCAACAATTACTTCTTTTTTATAGATTTCGATTTGTTAATGATACAAGATATTATTGGTTTGATCGTACAACAGATACAGCTGATCCAGCTACAATATCTGAACGTTTACTTAAACAATGTTCTAAAATACCTGAAATTTCTGATAAAAATTGTATTGCTATACAAAATGTACCAAATTCAGATCAAAATATAGTTAGTCATGAAAGATGTATTACTGAATCAAATGAATGTTCAACAGTATTAGCTATGCCAGTTTGTGTTGATAAACAAATAGAAATAATACCAACAATTGTTCCACCTATTTCAGATGAAAATCCATCACAAGTATCAGTTAATATTACAAGTGAAAATTTGTGTGATGATGAAGATAATGAATATCATTTTATAGATAATTATTGTTATAAAATATTATATCATGAAGTAACTTGGAAAGATGCTCAAGCAGAATGTCGACGTGATAAAGCTATGGTATTTGTTCCGGAAAAATCTATTACATTACAATACATTAAATCATTATTTCTACGTCGAAAAACATACACATCATCAGGTGTTGCACATGTTGGTGTTTATTATCATAATATAAATCGTACTGTTGTACAATATGATATATCAAGTGAAATTGATACATTAGTTGTACCAGATTCTAATGCTATTTATGATTTATGTGAAAAAACATTTCAAGAACGTTATACAGCATTAATGATATCATCAAGTTTAACAACAAGTGAAAAAGCTCGTTTAAAAACTCAACAAAATGGTTGTGCATACATTGATTTAATGTCAAGCGTTGCACCAGCAATTCGATGTGATGAAATACCTTGTAATCGAACAGCAACTGTTATATGTCAAAAACTACCAACTATTAAAACAAGTATTATTAACGCTAAACGGTAGGTTTAAAATAAAAAGTAGAATCATGCAGGATGAATTTTTTTTTCGTACCCTAAATTCTGTTTATTTCGTTGAACTAAAGACGGCTGACTACACAAAGTAGTCAAATTGATCATATCTCTTAATTTATCAGTTGAGTCAAGATAATTGAACATAAATGAAATTCATTATGATTTCCTCTACAGAAGTCTTAAATTTATTGATAGCAGATATTGTATAGGATCATGTTCTGACACTTTCGGACTCATACAATCTTTGCGGGATTTTGAACTGTTCCGTAGGAGTCTATTTAAAAGTTATTTTTTCTTTTGCTTTTGATATTCTAGTGAATATATTGATGAACCATCGACTGATGCTGTAACTGATCTTTCATCAACAGCAACAGTAATTAGTACTGAAACAGTTTCATCAGTGAATGCGAATGAAGATGAACCAGACTCTTCAGATGAAACGAGATCAATTGGAAGAGATTTTGCTCCAATATTTTTAATTTTAACTATTATTTTTATTCTTATACTTCTTGGTCTTATAAGTACAATATACAATCAACGTGATTTAATATTTCGTCGTACTCATCGACATAATACAGACTCTATTTATTCTCAATTAACATCTGCAAATGAATTTGATTTAAATTGAAAATAAATATTGAAAAAAAAAAAATTAATTCAATAGTTTTGTATGATCTAATATATTTACAAATGAGAATGTACTTCAATACTATTGAATCTTATCAAATGACAAAAATAGAATAGATGAGAGAAGAACAAAAAAGAAAGAAAAACATCTTTGCGTACTCAACTTATTAAAAATACTATTGTTTACATTCAATATTGAGTGTACTTGAAATGAAAGAAAATTTGAACTATGCATAACAATGTTTATATGAAATGATTTTTTATTGGTTAAAATGAAGTTTTCGTAGAACAAAAAGAACTTCTTTCTTTCAATATACATTCGTTTTCTTTTTTTTTTCCTTATTGATTTCTAATTTTAGATGAAGATTATATTCAATATATACTCTTTTATTTTTATTTCTCTTATGTCTATTTATATAATATCAATAAAAATAGAAATACATACATAACTAGAGAATCACAAAAAAAAAAAATAGAGAATATAAGAGAAACAGATCTTTGTTTCTCTTATTGGTTTTATTATGATATGCATGTTAGTATTTCATTCTCAGTAATACATACTATTTTAACAGTAATATTATGTCTATTTAGAGTATATTGAATTTATTTTATTTAACAAACTTCATAAAGAATAGACAATAATAACCATATTAAAAGATTAATTATATTATCGAGCAAATAATATTAAAAAACTTTTTAATTCAAAAATAATACACGAACAAAATAATCCAATCGATAAACCAAATTGAAAAGTGAGATCATACTTTATTTTGTTCTAATTCTTTTATGAGAAAGTATCGAAACATTCAAGCAGATTCATATATAAACTCGACTTATCTTTTCTTTTTTTCTTAGCAATTGTTTCAAGTGTTAAAAAGAGAAGGATTCGTTGTAAATTTCATTATTATTTGTTTCTTAAGTGTTTAATGTCATTATCATTCTTTCTTTCATTCACATACAATAAAATTTTATTCACAATATTCTCGATAATTTGTTAAAGATTAGTATTTTATTTAAGTTAAACATTCGCCCACTCATTTCTCTATTATCTATTACAAAGTCATTTTTTACGTTCTTATATATTTTCATTTTAATTAATATTGAATCATTAGAATCATGTTTGAATTAGACATATATTATTTTTTTTGCCATAATAAAAATTTTTATTTAATTAATTAAACATCAATAAAAGTATATGACACATGAGTTATTTGTTGGGTACTATAAACAAAAACATTTATTTTCTAGATTTTTAAAAAATAACAATGAATCGTACTCTTATGGTTATACGTTATCGTAAAGCAACACATATTGGTTTAAGTTCTTCATTTACTCGAACTTTTGTTCAAATTTGTTATGTACCTATTGCTCGACGAAATATTCAAAACTATTTCTAATTTTAATATGTATATTTATATTATTTTATTTTTCTTTTAGAATTGAAATTTTTTTTTTTTCATTTTTTTTTTTAGGAATATTCAAAATTATTATTAATAATAAATTGGTTGGACTGGATAATCTAAATAACGTATGGATATTTATTGAAGAAGATAAATCTAATGCAAAACAACAAATAAAACAATCAAGTAAGAATTATCAATATGCATATACCTGCATATGCATATTTTTGAATATTTAATTTCTATCATACAAGTGAATAGACTTAATTGCCTTTTCATTGTACGGTTTTTTTTTTCTTCAATAGAAACTCTCTTTCTCATATGTAAATGAATGTAGACTATTTCCTATACTTATTAAAACAAGACGAGAAGGACAAATATTTTGCATACTTATATATATATATATAATTCAGGGTTAACTTCTTCCTTTTTTTTTTATATAGTTCAATGTTAATGTATAATTATTGACTGAATAGATTAAGTAGTGCAAAAAGAATATTAAAAAAAAAAAAAAAAAAACTTGTATTTATCTTTATTTCCATATTTTTATATACAAAATTTAATATAAACGATGACTTCTATTTTGAAAAGATAATTTATATTCAAATTAATATTTTTTAAGAATTGAGATAAGATAAGATGAATGTCAATATCACATTTATTTTCTATTTTATATATTTAACAACAATCAGCTTTTATTTTATCAAATAATTTTTTTATACGTTCACACAATGTGAATTAGTCGCACATGTGCCTGTGCATGTATGTATGATATCTACGACAATAAAAAAAAAAGAAAGCGAAAGAGAGAGAGAGAGCTTTGAAGCTATGTCATTAAAGCAATATTAGACGACCAATGATTGATTGATCAAAACGAAGCACTAGACAGACAAAAGGACATATACACAATATATAAGGATTAAACCGGTTGAATATAAGATCGAGAAAAAAAAAGAATAGTATGAACAGTGAGATACTGAAGTATGATGAATACATATAAAATATCTTGTCTTTTATCTTAACTTGATGAACGATAACAATGACATTTTGACTATAATTATCTATGTTGTAAAAATCAAACTATCATAGCTTTTTTTTTTTTTTTCTTCTCTCTTTAACGACATCGAGACACATTTTATTTCGATTAGTATCATAAAAAGAACAAATTCCAACATGAACTTGTCTCAACTCTATTGGTGGTATATTCTATATCTTTGTATGAGTTTACATTCGTGACGATTTATTAGTATAAAAGCAATTGTATTATTTAAGTGTGAAAATTTGTCCTTGTTCTTAGGATTTTTTTTTTCTATATCAAGGATGCACTTTCATGTACTTATATGTATAAAGGTGTAACAGTGATATTATCTTTGATCAATGTGTTCAATCAGTATTCGATGTACTATGAAGGCTTAATCACGCATTTGTTCACACTTTGTCCTTTCAGATTTAAATAGCTTTTACTTTTCATAAGAAAAAAAAAAAAGAAGCATGCCAATGTATAATCGAGTTTTTGGTTGACTAATACAACAACGATGAATAATATTTTATAAGTTTCTTTTTCTTTTTTGTTTGTTTATTCACTAACAAATTGTTGAAAATATGACCATATGAAATGAACACATGAATTATCTTAATAGCCTTTTACATAATATATTTATTTAGAATAAAATACCATATGGTCATTAACGAATGAAACAATCCTACTAATATGTATATTAGCAGTATCCTTGTTTCCTTATGCATTTTTTCTTGTAGCTATCATTTGGTTGAACGAAGACAAGGATAGCAAGAAAAATGTTTTATCGAATACTTTTAGTTATTAGAAATAGAAACAGAAGGCATAATCCATAATCTATAGATTTGGTCATCATAACAGGCAAGAATATTTGAGAATGGAAATAATTGAAGCGTATGTTTTTATTGTGCAAGTAGTAGATGAGAAAACCGCGAGTCCATCTGCTGTTTCTCATCATCATCATCATCACCAAGTATAAGCATATGTGCTATACTCTATTAACATATCGATCATAGTATATATGTGTAGTGTATGTCGTTCAATAAGTGTATGCGTAATATCCTCTTCCTTTTTCTCCTTCATCTCTATGTCATTCTTTTTTTCTCCTTATCTCTTATATCAAATAACGCTCTGTTGCTTCTCGTTCTTTTTTACGTTGTTTCATCTATTGTTCTTTTATATGTATATATGTATAACTATGTAATCGAATAGTGAAAGCGACAAGCTCATCATCATTTATTAATCTATAGTAAACGTTACATTAGGTTTCTATTTCGATATTTGGAATTGATACCAGATGAAATGAATATAACAGGTAAATGAATAAATATGTGCTAAATTTGAAGAATATAAATAGTTATTCAGTTGCTATTATCAATGATGTATAAAGGATGACATTTTTCAAAGAGGTAATATTTTAAATAAAACGAACTATATTTTCATTCTATGACTTTTTGAAGTGGATTGTTCTTTCAAGTAGAGCGCATATAAAAAAAAAACACATACACATAAACAGTACTATGGATAAGTGAAATCGTATGGATATACTTATTCTGTTTGTTTCATTTTTCGTACGTGCTTTTTCTTTCTTTTTTTTTTTTTCTTGTCTGAAGAATGTCGCACATGTGCGTCAGACTGATTCTCTTCTATTCATATTTATGTCTTTTATGTATATGTATAGGTGATTTTACAAAAAAAAAAAAAAAAAATTATTTTTCTTCAAATCTTCCTCTGTTGTTCTTTTTTACTCGATTGCATTACATAAAACGACATATTATTAAAAAAAAAAGGAAAGAAAAAATTAAGACTTTCGACGTAGTAAAAGAAAAAGAAAAAATATCGAATATAATCATTGAAAGTTGATGACTTCTTTGAGTGGTATGATGAACGAAGAAAAAAACCGTTGGATTATTTGTATTTGACAATATGCTATCAGCATCCATAAAAAAAAAACAAAATACACAAAACGAAAGAGAACAAAATAAAACTTCTTTTTTTTTTCGTTATTGTTTGTACATGTCAGACATTCATTTTCAATAATAATAATGAATCGTACCGATCAAACAGAAGAAGAAGACGAGGATCATGCTGATATAGCAACAGTGATAAGTGAGGGTAACAAAAAGAAAAATGAAGAAAAAAAAAAAGAATTTACACTTGTCTAATATTGACTCATATTGTCTCGTTGTCATATTACAAATCTTGAGCAAAATTTTTTCCTTTCTTCTTTCTTGATTCGTAATAGGAGAGCTTTTTTCGTTAAAGCTTTTTTTTTTTTTTTTATATACATATGTATATAATTGAACATATGGCATAGGAGACCTTTATTTTTAGTTGGTCAATTTTGTTCTGTTCGACCACCTCGGGAGTATCGTAATCAAGACAGTAGTAACAACAACATTTGTTCAAGCAAACAAACTAGTGACGAGACTGATCTTACTAAATATCAAACGATAAATCGCTCGATTTCTTTACCGGCACGACAGACATTTTCTTCAAGTAAAAACAATGAAGAAAATATAAAACAACGTCGACGATATGCAAGTAGTTCCAATAACAATAATAAAACTATAAGCACTTCAT